AAATGGCATTTAGGGCCCTTGTACATAGGGTCTCTGAGTCGCAATCGCCTCGATGGCACATAACAACAACAACAACAACAACCAGTTTATTTACAAACTTAGAATACATTGTTATTGTTTTTATTTTTAACATGTTTTATTGTGATTTGAATGGAATTTTAGAGGACAAATAAATTCTTCATGAAACCACACATCCATACACATTTTGTCCTATAATATTCATTTTAATACATACAATGCTTTCACATTTCTTCTCTATATTCTTGCTACTATTAATTCTTCTACACATCTTGGCATTTTCCTTTTCTTTAATGATACTGTGCTGATCATCTATTTATGTCATATTATCTTTCCCTTCAAATATCTTAATATATGTCCATTACTTGTTAATTTTCACTCCTTTCTCATCTCTGATAATTATCCAAAAATGAGCCTGTGTATAAACTTTGCCCTAGCTTTTGATAATAATGTTCTTATCCCATATTTGTCCTTTTGTGACTTTCCACCCCACTAGTCTATTAACAAAACTCGAATACAAATTTGAACAAATTCTTTCAGTTTCCCTCACCCTGCCTCCATCAAATTATACCACCCCAAGATTAACCCCCTCCTCTTGCACATCTTTAGCTTTCAGCTTTCATCCTTTCCCACCCCTCTTCAACCCTTATACTCATTCTACAATAATGGTTTTATACTATACTTAAATAATAATTAACTCGGTACCTCCGAGTTAATTCACTCAGCATAATGCTCTCCAGTCCCTCCCAAGTAAGGTAATAATTTACAAAATCATTGCTCCTGCATGCTGTGTAGTATTTCATTGTGTGAATGGACCATAATTTCTCAATCCATTCATTTGTGGTTGGACATTTTGGCTGTTTCCATGTCCTTGAGATGGTGAATAATGCTGCTATGAACATTGGTGTACAAATCTCAGTTTGTGCCTCAGTTCTCATTTTCTCATTGTATATCCCAAGTACATACATAGGTTTTTAGGAGGCCTGCTATTTCAGAAGTGGATGGCTAGTCCTTCTTCCTAGTCTGTCTTAATCGGAATGTTCAGATTTAGAGAAGTGTCAGACAGACCAGCATTTTACAGAAAAGTGAAAGATATATGAATATATATCTGTGTTTCATTGATTCTACAAAGGCGTTTGACTGCATAAATCATAACCAACTGTGGTGACTCTGAGAAGAATGGGAATCCCAGAACACTTGATCGTGCTAATGCGAAACCTGTCCTTGGACCAAGAGGCAGTCGTCAGAACAGAGCAAGGAAACACTGCATGGTTCAAAATTGGGAAGGGCATACGCCAGGGATGTGTCCTGTTTCCATACCTTTTCAACCTGTATGCAGAACAGATTATCTGGGAGGCTGGGCTCACTCTATGAGGAGAAGTTTGGTGTTAGGATTGGTAGAAGAT